TACTAGGCTCAGTACCTAAAACTGTCACAACTTTCCAATGGCCACATGTACTGAGGATAAAGCCTTTACTGCAGAGCCATCATGGGACACTCAAGAAATATTTAAACTGTAGCACTTACCATAGGAGTCTTTTAAAAATAAAAAAGTAAAAATTTTGTGTTCTATCTATGCCCAGGGGATGTTGAGTGGACATTGCACTCAACATGTATGTTTATGCATGCTCATGATTATACAGATATGCATGAAAGTCAGAGAGCAACATCAGGAGTCATTCCTTAGGAGCTGTTTTAGAGAGGCTCTTATTGGAACCTGAAGGTTGCAGGTTGAGCTCTCAGACCAGAACAGTTGAGAGCTGTCTCTGCGTCCGCAGAGCTGGGACTACAGCTGCCTGCTGCCTTGTCTGGACTTGCACGTGGGTGCTAGCACTGGAACCCTGTCTTCACGCTTCCACAGGAAACACTTCGCTCACTGAGCCATCTCCCCAATCCCCTTATATGCTTTTGTGAATTAATTCTGTTTTTCTGCTTCCTCCCTTATACACCCACAACTTAGATTTGTGGTATGTCTCTGGCAATTATCTAAATGAACACAAAAAGAAATTTCATCCATAATCCTATGATGAGACAAGTCTAAGACTTATTTATTCCATAACATTATGAAAATTAGTTTCTAAATGAAATAATCCTAGCTATACCAGTGCAGCAAGAGTTCTGAAGTAGTTATATAATATTCTAGTTTTATTTTCTATCTCATAAACCTCTTTCTTCTAGCCTTTCTCAGAGAGCAATTTTAGAGTACATTTTTACTTGAAGCAGATATGTCAAATGCTACAGGTCAAACAGAGTGATTCCAAACTTGAGTGCCTATGCTAAAATCAAAACCATGATTTACTAACATGCAAAGGTCAGTCCGTGCTGCCAAAATATTTACTAGATGATTTCACAATTTTTTTCTCACAGAATATTTATGAGACTCTCTGAGTATTGTGACTCTAAGTTCTGTCTCTGTTCCACAAACTTAAGTGTGGGAGGGGAAAGCAAAGTCTAAGAGGAACACTAATGGACAGATGTTCTTCCAGCTGAGAACTCAAAGGCAGGCTTTTCCTTTACTGTCAAATTTCAGTCAGGCTAATCATGCTCCTCTCCTCAAAGGCCAAATCTAATTTATTTATTTTTAATTTTCTTCATAAAAGAAAAATTTGCAAATAAAAACATCACACGTAAAAACTAAACAGGCCCAATGTCCACCAACTTAGGCAACTTATATACAGTTAGAATTGCTGTTACAAATAGAAGCTGTGAAGCTTCACATTAAATTCTACACTTTCTGTACCAAACATATTTGATGCACTTATCCACAACCAAAAAAAGCCATGACAGAATTAGACCTAGAAAATGATTCGCTTTATATCTTCTTTCCTAACTCGCGTTCATTACCTGAATTCAGCCCTTCCTCATCCCCTTATATTTATTATATATTATATATATTATATATTTGTTATCTTTTATTCATGTTATACTGCACCCACATTTACATATATGTAGATGTTGTTGGCTAAACCCTGCATCTGAGAGAGAACATGCTTTATTTCTTCCTGAGAGTATGACCCTGCTAAGTCCATCCATTTTCCTGCAATTTTTAACTTCATTTTTCTTTAGAGATGTTTCATCTAATTCCAATAAATTTATTTATTCATTTAAGTATGACTAATCTACAACAATGGTACATTTTAATATTATTATATACAGTGGGGGAAAAAGCAAGTTTCTTGATATTTCTAAATTTCTGGCATGTTGTTCTTTGAGATTCGGGGAAAATAAATTGATTACTAGGAAATTTTAGAAATTTCAAAATTGTTACTACTTTTTCAAGGTATTTTTTAATAATCTTTATATTTTATTATTTAGGGAACTGCAATTCATGTTTAAAGAATCAAGTATACTGAGTTTACTAGTGGTCACAAAAACTTTAGCTTACAGGAATATTTCAACAATTTAAAATTCAGATCTCCTAGTAAGTTTTGTCATGAAATCCCATTTGGAAATTGCCAACCAAGTCCTTTCTAATAGAGTTTTCTTTGTTTTATTTATTTTTATCCCTCAAAATAATATTTTTCTTTTAACTAAATACATTGATTAATCCCTGCCCTGTTTTAACATCAACTCATTTATATTGGAGGCAAAGTTGCAGATGGTTAAAGATATCTGCAGGCTTCGAACAAAGTCCGGGTGATCTGGGTTTTACCACCGGCTTCATCTATATGACTTGGAGGAAATCACTTAAAAGTCTTTGATCCTGTGTTCTCATCTGTGAAATGGCAAAACTTTAATATCATCTCATCAGATTGTTGTAAAAAAAATTTTAATCTATGGAAAGCCTTAGTATGGTGCCTTGAACATATTTTCTAAAAACAGCATTCAAGAATTGTTTTTCTCATTGTTTAACAGTAACTATTACTGTCATTATGGTAAACACATTTTCTCGGACCAACGCTGAACAAAAAGGCTATCACAGTCATATGCCTGTAAACCCAGCTTTAGGATGCAGATCAGTAATGTAAGGCCAGCTTGGGCAACACTGATGGAGACTTTGTCTCACAAACATCAAAAGAAAAGAAAAGCATTTATCTAGGCTGTTATTTTCACTGTATAAAACATCCACAAGCTTACATAGCATGCTGCTAAGTCATGCTACTTCTTCCTTATAAAATCTTACTAGTTACCTAAGAGCATATAACACACCTATTGTGTATATGGTTAAATTTCAAAGTTGGAATTACTGTAACAGACAAAGGTATGTTTTCAGAACCATGCTGATTTTTTTAGTTTGCATACCCTCATCTTTGTAATTAAAAAAAAAAAAAACTACAACTCCTCCAGTAATTCAGAAAAGTAAAACTCCATCAGTAATTGAGAACACACACACACACACACACACACACACACACACACACACACACACACACACACACTACAATATATATCCATATATTTGCCTTTGAGGCAATGGGCTGTCTACCAGATTTTTAATTAGTATATCTCCTTCTATTCATCTGTCTTTCATTATTGAGTACCATAGTAAATCAAAGATCCTCATATGCCTGTTTAACAATGGTATGGACCTCCAAATAATTATAACTTTTACATTGTATCACATAATGACTTCCTCTGTTGTTAGATGTACATTGCTTACAGTCTAGTCTCTGGCCATTCCATGGCCTCTCTGACCAGAAGGACCAGACAGCTTATCAGAGGAATCTCATTGTCCTCTGGGTCCTGGCTGACCATGGAGGGCAAGGATCAAAACATTGCACATCCTTTTTGATCTTTTTACCCTTATTGGTGTAGGTCAAGCTTTGTTGACCAACCAGAAGAACAGCTTTGTATTTTTAATTTGTATAAATTTTAGACAAAGCTTAGAAAAAAACAAACCAAACAGTTTTAAATAAATCTTGGTTTTTACTATGACTCAGTTTTCTCAAGTAGTGAAAGTTCAACAAAGTTAGCAAAAATTTAATTACCTTGATTAGACATACAACAACAACAACAACATTTAAGTCAACTTTTGTTACCATTAATAGATCGTTATAACCTTAGGGATTCTAATAAACTTTAATTATTAAACATTTATGTCCTAAGTCCCATCATCTACAAGCCTTGTATAACTTATTTAGACCTTTCTGATATGGCTTTAAGCATTTCTGGTTTTGTTTTCATTGTGTGTGTGTGTGAGTGTGTGTGTGTGTGTGTGTGTGTGTGTGTGTGTGTGTGTGTCTGCGTGTGTGTGTGTGTGTGTGTGTGTGCATGCGCGTGTGCACATACATACACACATATATTCATCTTTAGGATAATGCTTATTTTATCATAAAAATCTCTCTTTACCTAAAATATTTCACACATACCCTCTTCCCCTTCTGTTTGTACATTTAAGAATTTTAATGCCTCCTTAGTGGGCTAGCCCACCCCAAATGAAAGCCATTCTATTTCAGAGATGGTCAGAATTAGCTTAACATCATAATTTTCTGAATACTCTTTTTAGAGTTTTTTTTTTTAAATCAGACATTCTAAGGACACAGTGTACTATGCTTACCACCCATTTGTTCCTACTGAAAGGAACATATAGGAAATTCACATACAGGAATTCACATTCACATACAGGAAAGGGAAAGGGAAGAGATTCCATTCATTCCACCCTTTTGTCAAGTCAATTGGTATGCAGGATTGTCTCCATTGGTGTTCATTGGTGTTCTGTTGCTGTGAAGACGTGCCATGACCTTGGCAACTCTTATAAAAGAAAGCATTTAGTTGGGGCTTACTTACATTCAGAGGTTTAGTCCATTATGGCCATGTCTGAAAGCATGGCAGTTCACAGGCAGACATGTTGGAGAGGTAGCTGAGAGTTCTACATCTGGATTGGCAGGCAGCAGGAAGAGAGAAACACTGGGCCTGGCTTGAGCATTTGAAACCCTAAAGCCCACCCCTAGTGACACACTTCCTCCAACAATTCCACATCTACTCCAACAAGGCCATGCCTCCTAATAGTGCCACCCCCTCTTAACCAAGCAATCAAATCTATGAGACTATGAGGCTCATTCTTATTTAAAACAACCACAAGTATCCGTAAACAGGCTAAACAGACATTCATCTAAAGATTGAGCCCCAAGTTCGATTAAGCATAGTGTTTTATATCCTTCTGTCCCCTTGATTGCCCCTCAAGAGTAACCCAGAGTGACATATATTTTGATTGTCTATATTATAGAGTTTTCTGAATTGCCCCATAAGCAGAATTCTTCCCCACAGATCAGAATTTCCCAAAAGCCACTTACAGTACAGAAGGGAGAGGGGAGGAATTTGGTTACAGAAGAGACAGAGAGATAGGACAAGGGGGGTGACCAGCCTGTTGCAGATGGGTCCTCTTAGCATTTCAGTGCCCCTTACTATACTGTAGTATCTCTTTCTATGTTGGTTTTGTCTGTCTTCCATCTTTCCTTGTTTTTACAGATTTTTAAAGGCATTGGCTCTGAAGAGACTGTGCAAAGTCAAGGGAGTAGGAGGCTGATCAGCTTCTCTCTCTCAGGTACGTGTTGCTCACCTAGGAGCCTTATGCAGAGTATTAGCTACTTTCTGTTGGTGTCATAAAACACCATGCCAACTTAAAGAAGAAAGTGTTCATTTTAGCTTACAGTTCTAGAAGGATACAAGCCCATGATGGCAAGGTGAAGGCATGACAGCAAACAGCAGGCAATGTGAGAGTTTCAAGAAGCAGAGAAATCTCATCACCCACCACAAGCAGGAAGCCAGAGGAACTGGAAATGGTACAAGGATTTAAACTTTTAAACCCACCCCTAGCAATGTACTTTCTCCAGCAGGTCTGCACCTCACTATGACCCTCTCCAGACAGCACCACCTACTAGGAACCAAGTGTTCAAATGCCTGAGCCTATGGCTGTTACAGGAATCTTAGAAGGTCTTATTAATGAAAATAAACCTGGAGCAAGGTATTGGGGTGAATGCTGGAAGATCAGAGAAGCAGAACAAGCCACAGCCACCTCATCTTACCAATTCCTCAGCTGATCCTGTTTCCTCAGACTGGAAGTCTCTGAGTCCTCATCCAGAATGAATCTCAGCTGAACTGTTGCTCAAAAACCTAAAAGCTTAACCAGCCTAGTTCCTGGTTTTCACAACTTATATACCTTTCTGCTTTCTGCCATTACTTCCTAGGATTAAAGGCGTGAGTCATCATGCCTGGCTATTTCCAGTGTGGCTTTGAACTCACAGAGATCCAAATGGATCTCTGCCTCCAGAAGGCTAGGATTAAAGGTGTGAGTGCCACCATTTTCTGGCCTCTGTCTGTCTAGTGGCTGTTTTGTTTTCTGACCCCAGATAAATTTATTAGGGTGCATGATATATTGGGGAACACAATATCACCACATATGGCAGACATTTCTCATTCAAACCACCATGTACAGTGAACAAGAATGCCAACCACTTCTACAAGCTTCAAGTTATTCAATCTCTTTGTGCCTCGTTTTCCTCACCTGTGGAGGTGAAGTTAAAATAAAATGGGCGATTTCCCTTGAATAAGTAAGAATAATGGAAATTCAGTCAGTCATAAATGTGGAAGTGTTTTGACACAGTGGGAAGGGAAGCTATTGTCTTAATAGAAGCATTAACAGTCTACCAAGGGCAAGTGGAGGAAGCCAGAAGAGAGCAGCAGCCATCCAATTCTAAACAGAACTTGCAGTCAACCCACTTAAGCAGAGTGGATCAAAGCCGAGCCAGCCAAAACAGTACATTTGAGGGGAGAATCCAAATAAAGTCCATTTTAATTTAGGCAATTTAAAACATTAATAGTTGAGTGTTGGGTGAAGCTTTTCCTGGGGAGATGTGAAGAAAGATCTATTAACCCTGGCAGGGGAATTGATGACAGATCAAAATAGCCATTCTACTGAAGTCAGCCTTGTAGCTAGAGTTTTCCTGCCTTTCCCACAGTCAGGACAAATCTCTCTCCCGCCAGTCCCACAGCAGCTCAGACCCGACCAAGTAAACACAGAGACTTATATTGCTTACAAATTGTATGGCCGTGGCAGGCTTCTTGCTAACTGTTCTTATAGCTTAAATTAATCCATTTCCATAAATCTATACCTTGCCACGTGGCTCATGGCTTACTGGCATCTTCACATGCTTCTTGTCATGGAGGCAGCTGGCAGTGTCTCCCTTTCCCTTCTTGTTCCCTTAATATCCTGCCTATACTTCCTGCCTGGCCACTGGCCAATCAGTGTTCTACTTATTGACCAATCAGAGCAACAGATTTGACATACAGACCATCCCACAGCACAGCCTAGCAAGAGAATAAGTTGATTGGGGTCACTTAAAAGAGCATGGACAGCTCAGTGCAGCTGCATCACTGAAAAGCCCACCTTGTCATGGGTGACAGCTCAAGACAGCTGCATTACTAGAGCCTTCTGCAGGATGCCCAGGCAGGACAAGGTGGAAAATCTTCTCCAGGAAGCTTCACTGTGCAAAGATTCTCTTCTCCAGGCAGCTGTTTTCTGCTTCTAGGATCTCTGAGTGCAGACCATGTGGATCATGTATGTTTCAGCCTTGCAGGACTTACAAGGTTGTTTACTTCCTAAGTCTCCCTTACTCCTCCCTTCAGGAGGGAATGTTTCAATTTAGAGGAAATTAATGAACATCAAAGAATAAGTTACTTTTTAGTTTTCATGACTCTAGTGGTTCTGTAATACATTAACAATGGAAAAACTAGGTAAGGAATTATAGGAAATCTTTGCATTCTTTACCGAATTCTTGTAAGCCTGAAATTCCATTGTCATTACAAGTATAAAAGAACAGAACATGTAAGTCAGGTAAACCCTTTCATCATCATGTTGTTTGTGGTCCATGTTTTAAAAACTGCAACAGAGCCGGGCGGTGATGGCGCACGCCTTTAATCCCAGCACTCGGGAGGCAGAGGCAGGCGGATCTCTGTGAGTTCGAGGCCAGCCTGGTCTATAGCTCGAGATCCAGGAAAGGCGCAAAGCTACACAGAGAAACCCTGTCTCGAAAAACCAAAAATAAAATAAAATAAAATAAAATAAAAACTGCAACAGAGAAGCAAGCAAGAACATCAGGAAGCTGACAAGACACAGGTGGCTCTGAGTATAAAACAAGAAACAAGGATTCTAACAAACCGGTTAGACAACCATGGAGATTGAGAAACACCAGGATGACAAGAATTTTCAGGAAGAAGTAATAGAAAATTTGACTTGAAGGATATGTAGAAAAAAAAGAGTAAGAACAACTGAAGTACATGCATTCAAAATAGACCTTCCCTCTACAACGTAAAATTACTTGTAATAAAACAGCTTAAGTTAGACAGGTCAATTGCCACAGTCTCCTCTTCCTGACGCCATGGTTTCTCAAATCTCTGGTTGTGGGTGAGTGCCTAGCTCCATGGAGGCTGCACTTACTCTTCTTCCATGGTTGTCTGCTCTTTCAAACCCTTTTTTCTACTTATCCTTACTCAGTGAAATCCACATTTATTGTAAAACTACTGTCCTCGGTTTTCTTACATCTTTGCCCTACAAAACAACTTCGTGTCTTTGATCTACCACATTTCCAGTCAGTTTTCTTCCATGTCCAACACCTTGGGAAACCCTCAACCTCTCACCCATTCCCTTCCTCTTAATCTGTTTGTAGAGCACCAGCCATCCAGTCCAGTCAGGGTCAATGGTCCTCTCATTAAAAATAAATGTCCACAGTACCAGTTGAATTGACATATGACAAGGATTTCTTTCCCAAATACAACTTAACATATGCCAGGAAATGTTCCAAATAATAGTCTGTGTATATACACATCAGTCCTTGTTGGTAATAAGATGGAAAATTGTCTAAACATTGTTAAAAAAATGTTTCACATGTATATTAGTTACTTTTCTATTGCTGTAATAAAATAACATTACAAAAGCAACTTATGGAAGAGTTATTTTGAACTTAGGGTTCCAGAAGGAAAAGAGTCCATTAAGGCAGGGAGGAGTCACAGCAGGTGGCTGGATCAGAAAGCTGAGAGGTCACATCTTTAATTGTAAACACCAAGAAGAGGGTGAACTGGAGGCGAGGACAAGAACTCTCAAAGCCTGTCCCTAGTGACATCTTGCACCTTTCAAAACCTGCCCAAACAATGCCACCAACTGGGGACATGTGTTTAAATATCTGAAACTACGGGGGACATTTCTCATTTAAACCACCCCATCATGTTTTGTTTGTCTTGCCTAGGACCTGTAGGTGCTCAACTTCACTAAAACATACTTAAATAAAATGTCATTTATTTTATAGATTTCCAGGCCATGGGGTTGAAGAAAGGGATGTTTTTCAACCCAGACCCCTATCTGAAGATTTCCATTCAGCCTGGGAAACACAGCATCTTTCCCGCCCTCCCTCATCATGGACAGGAGAGGAGATCCACGATCAGAGGCAACACTGTGAACCCCATCTGGCAGGCAGAGGTGAGTGCTAGGGAGGGGGGATGCTGAAAGGATCAAACTGAAATGAGTAATGATGCGCTCACCCCGTGCTCATTTTCTTGTGGAGCATAGATTCTGTTCTTAAACTCATGGCCATGAGACTCAGGCCTTAGTAGGGAGTCATGTTCTCTCTGAGAGCTTCAACTCCAGAGTCTGGAATTACTGTCCCAGGCAGCATCCGGTAATGCTTTGCCACAGCTGCTTTGAGTGTCATGGGAGAATACCCTCCCCCCAACCCAAAATTCAATTCAGGCATCCAGAGATTTAAAAAGAACAAAGGGAAGAAAGGGAGAGAGGAGAGAGAGGGAGGGAGGGAGAGAGAGAAGGGAAAGAGAGAGAGAGAGAGAGAGAGAGAGAGAGAGAGAGAGAGAGAGAGAGGACTGGGGTCCTAGTCAGTGCTCAACAGGGACCAGCCTTGATCTGAGCTTTTCACAGTTTATACAGGGTGTTATAATCTTACATAAATTTTCATCTGCAGGTAACTTTTAGGTTCTGCCAAAAGTTCCATTTTCTGGGCAATTATCAATAAGATGTTTTTCCACTAACAAAGTCTTTTACTTATTTGAAGAGCTGTGGGAAGCAGCTCTCAAGATCTACAGCTGTGGAAAACTGGCCTTTCCTTGGGGCTGTCTGGCAAATGTTTACCTTTCCAGATAAGAGCAAGCAGTTTTGATGAGCATCTTGTAATAAAGCAGAACTCAGCAGACTTTATCCAACCTCAAGTCAGAAATGTAACTTTAATTCATTTTTTATCTTTTTCTGTTGTCCAGGAGAAACTGGTTAGTGTGTTACCTATCTGAAACTTACATATCGAGGCAGAGCCTTTTAGCTAAATTTCTTATTTCAATGTGACTTAATATTTTCTAAGCAAGCTTATCAGTAAATCCCTTTCAATCATACTTAACCAGAGTTAGAACTTGCTATTTTTCTACCACATTGCCAGTGGTTTCTTTTATGATTCAGAACAGGTGCCTGCAAGCAGGAAAAGCACATTTAAGCATGATTAGTCCCATTTCTCCACAGTTAACCCCATGCTGTCATCATCAAGAGCTCCAAACTATAAATGGGGTCCTCTGGATGACTTCCAGAGATACCAAAGTCATCAGCTTCCTGGAGTAGACAAATCAGTCATCTCTAGAATATTCCTGATTTGGTTGCACGTTGCTCGATTTAAATATATATGAAACCTAATTTTTCATCTCATCTTGGTGGTTTGAATAGTGGTGTGCAGCTTGCTTACAGTATTGAATACTTCATTGTGTCGGTAAAGGACCTTCTCAACTTCTAAGTGTGTCTCCTCCACCAGCCAGGAGTTAGGAGTTCTTCAACAAATCATGTATGATGCTGGGCCTCTAGTAACTAGCTCCTCTCCTAGAGAACATGTAGGGACTTGTCTCACTCAGCCTGTTTGGCTCCTGGACTTTCAGCTGATCACTTGAGAACACAACTTGGCAACTGTGTGGATGGAGGCACAGGAAACTTAGGGCAGGAGTGAATGAGCAAAAATGTAGAAGGTGAAATTGTAGCTGTGCAGACACAGAGCTCAGCTCAAAGCCTAGTTTGACCTGTGAACAATTCTGTAATTTTGAGTCATCAGTTATATTTCAAGCCTTGTAATATCTTCACCCATCTACTTATATCCGCCAATATATCAAAAATACAATACAAAAAAATACAAAATACAAGCCGGGCGGTGGTGGCGCACGCCTTTAATCCCAGCACTCGGGAGGCAGAGGCAGGCGGATCTCTGTGAGTTCGAGGCCAGCCTGGTCTACAGAGCGAGATCCAGGAAAGGCGCAAAGCTACACAGAGAAACCCTGTCTCGAAAAAAAAAAAAATACAAAATACAATAAAAACAAGAAACCCAAAAATTAAAAATCACAACAAATAAGCAGAAGACCAATAAGGCAAAATATGCCCCCAAAAGTGCATACAAATACCATTGAGTTTGTTTTGTGTAGGCCAACTGCTTCTTGGCATGGGGCCTGTCCTGAAGTGTGGTTGCTATACCCTGTGACACTCCATTGAAGAAAACTGATCTTCGCTTTGACAGTGGGTATCAATTGCAGCTAGCTTCTTCCTTAGGAGTGAGACCCCATGTCCACTTCCCCCTCTCAGTGCCAGCACCCCATTTGACCTGAGCCTGTGAACGTCTCGTGTGTGCTGCCACCGTCATTCTTAGTTCATATGTGAATCAGTGCTATTGCATCTGGATGACTGTTTCCTTGGAGTCATCTGTGACCTCTGGTTCTTACAATCCTTGCACCTCCTCTTCTGCATAGATCCTTGAGCCTTGAGGGAAGCTTGATGAAAGCATACCATTTAGGACTGAGTGTTTCCACGTCTCCCACTCTATGGATATCATGCAGGTGTGGGTCTGTGTGTTAATTTCCATCTGCTCCAAAAAGAAGCTTCTCTGATATGGGTTGAGAAAGGCACTGATCTGTGATTATAGCAGAATGGCATTCGGAGTCATTTTATTGTTATGTTCCTTTAGCAGAATGATAGTAGCAGGTTTAGCAGAATTAGGAGTCCTTTAGCAGAATAATAGTATATGGTTTTCTGCTAGTTCTGCAACCTGTTTGGTCTCATGCTCTTGACCACTTTCACAATGCCAGGCATGGATTCTACCTTATGGGTTGGGCCTTAAGTCTGATCAGAAAGTGGATGTTTACTCCTAACGTTTGCGCCACTATTGCGCCAGGATATCTTACAGGCAGGTCATGATTGTAAGTAGCAGGGATTGTAGCTGGGCGACACTGACGATGACTTTTCTCCTCTAATAGTCTGCAGAGTAACTTCCAGTACCGCCGAGTTACTAGTAGTACAAGTTGCTAGTCAGTAGATGTGAAGCTTCTAGTTAGACACTAGCTCAGTTCTCAGTGTTCGATGACATACATAAGTGTTGTCTTCAGCAATAGGGCCTTACCATCAGGTTGTAGAGAACAACCAATAACCTCGTAAATAGCCTTTGATGGTACCCCTTTGACCAAAGATTCAACAAGATGTGGCAAATTCCTGGCACTGGGAGTTTTACTTGGTGGCATAAGATGTCTAGATGGGGTATTCTCTCCCCTATTATTTGTTGACTTCATTTATATTCTTTTCATATGTGTATATGTTTTAGAAGCTTCTACAGTGATAGGTTTTCATATAGTTTTTCAAATGGCCTTTAGTATTAGTTGTCCCTCCCTCTATTTCCTCCTTTGCCCTTCTCTTCCACCCCTTTTCTTATTTACTCTCATAGTCTAGTCTCTTCTTTGTCTCTCCATTACAATATATTCTATTTCCCCTTCCTTGGGAGATCCTCTCTTACCCCTTAGTCCCTACTGGGTACCTAACTTCTGTGGTTATTCAAATTATAGCACATATATTAAAGGCTTAAAAACTAATATCCACACATAAGAAAAAACATTCATTTGTCTTTGGAGACCTGGGCTACCTTACTCAGGATGACTTTTTCCTAGCTCCATCCATTTACCTCTAAATTTCATAATTTCATTTTTCTTAATAGATGAATATTATCCCACTATGTAAATATACCACATTTTCATTCTCCATTCATCAGCTGATAGACAACTAGGCTGTTTCCAGTTTGGGGCTGTTATGAACAGAGCAGCAGTAAACATGGGTAAGCAAGTATCTCTGCAATAAGATATATATGCCTAAGAGTAGTATAGCTGGATCTTGAAGTAAACTGATACCCAGCTTCCTGGTAAACCGCCACACTGATTTCCATAGTAACTGTTCCAGTTTACAGTCCCGCCAGCCCTGAATAAATGTTCCCTCTTCCATGCATTCTCTCCAGCATTTACTTATACTTGTTTTGTTTATCTTGGCCATTCTGACTGCAGTAAGATGAAATCTTAAAGTAATTTTAATTTACATTTCCCTGATGGTTAAGGATGCTAAAAAATTTCTTTGTTTTCCAGCCAATTGTGTCTCGTCTTTTGGGAGTTCTCTTTATTTCTGTACCCTATTTTTGGTTGAGTTCTCTATTTTTTTTAAGGAACAGTATTTTTAATCCTTTATATAGTCTAGATAATAACCTCTATCAGATGTATAATTGGTAAGGGCCATTTCCCTTTCTGTAACCTACCACTTTGCCCAAATGATGGTGTCTTTTGTCATACAACTTTTCGGGGTCTATTAGGTCCCATGTATTAATTGTTGGTCCTTTCCTCTGACAATGAATTAAAGCTCATTCCCTGACTTTCTCTAATATTACACTCTTATGTTGAGGTCGATGATCCATTTGGAGTTGAGTTTTGTGCAGGGCGGATCTATTTGGATTCTTCCACACACAGCCATCCAGTTTGACCAGCACCATTTGTTGAAGATACTGCTTGTTCTCTGGTGTATACTTTTGGCTTCTTTGTCAAAAATTGAGTGTTCATAGGTGTGTGGATTTATGTCTGGATCTTCAGTCCAGTTCCTTTGATCAAAGTGTTGGTTTTCATGCCAGTACCATGCTGTTTTTATTACTATAGTTGTGCAGTACAATTAAAATCTGGGATGGTGGTAGCTCTAATAGTTCTTTTATTATTCAGGATTATTTTAGCTATCCTGGAATTTTAGTGTTTCCATATAAAGTTGGAGATTACTTCTCAATTTCTATGAAGAATTGTATTAAAATTTTGATGGAGGATTGTAGTGAATCTGTACATTGCTTTTGGTAAGATGGCCATTTTTACAATATTCATCATACCTAATCCACAAGCATGGGAAATCTTTTCATATTCTGATAGCTCCTTCAATTTCTTTCTTCAGTATCTTAATGTATAATATAAGTCTTTCACTTGCTTGGTTAGAGGTAATCCAGGATTTTTCTTTTTTGAGGCTACTGTGAAAGGTACTGTTTCCTTGATTTCTTTCTCAGTATGTTTTTCATTTGTATGTAAGAAAGCAACTGATTTTTTTGAGTAATTTTGTATCCAGCTACTTTGATGAAGGTGTTTATTAGCTGTAAAAGTTACCTGGTG